CCGACTCCTGTTCATAAATACATTCAGAACAATTTAAATGCTGTTCAATTTTTAGTTTTGTACACCTCAAGCATTTGCTGTTTTTACGTTCTGATGTTTGCAGACTTCGAATGTTTTAGTTAATTAAAAATAAAACAATTACTTGTTTCACATTATGTAGTCATGCTCTGCACTATGCAGAAATCTTTCCCATAATCCAAAGATCTCAGGAAACAGTATTCTTCCCATACCCCCTTTACATATAAAGACAATTTAGAAGAAAGAAGGGTTGGTTGCTATTATTGTTTATTAAGTATATTACAGTAGCACCCAGAAGGATTCAGGATTAAGGACCACATTGTGTTAGGTGGTGTGCAAACACATAGCGGGAGATAATCCCTGTCTGAGAAATTTTATAATCTAATATAAGAATTGATGCTCATGGGTCTTTCTCCAGAGGCCTTCTACAGTATGGGAATATGAGAAGAGGAAGCGGTTGTTTGGGGTAATCCAGGGCTGGGAGCTGACAGAGTGGACCACATGTTCGAAGTTGCTGCAAAGGAGTCTGGGACATTGTGCTGAGAGGAAAGAATGGGCACTCATCTACAGTAAATGTTCTCCAAGATGTGTTGTGAATATAGACATTCCACTTGAGGTAATTCTGTAATAGTTCTTTTACTGATGGCGGAACTTCAGATTGTCTGAACAGAAACTGCAACACAGACTTGCTGAAGCTGACATCGTCGCAAGATGCTTGAGTGATGGCATAATGTCTGGAAAAGGTATGTACAGATGCACATGTTGCCACTTCACAAATGTCCATTATAGGACCATAAATCAGAGAGGTTGACAAAGTGGACTGGGACCCAGTGGAGTGAGCCATTACTCTCAGTGGAGGAGAGACGTCTGCCAAGCTTGATACTGTCAGAGATCCTGTGTAATATACGTTGAGTTGACACTGGTGGGCCTTTGACTCTCTCGGCATAGACTACAAAAAGCCTATTAGAGGTTCTGAACACCTTAGTGTGGTAAACGTAGAATGCCAAAGCTCTGCAAACATCTAAAGTATGAAGTGTTTCCTCAACTTAAGAAGAATGAGACTTGGTTAAGTACTGGGTCAAAGATTGATTAGGCCTTTCAAATATCTGGATCACCAGAGGGTGAGAGAAAACCAAGAATCTGTCTATTGGTGGGTAAACTGCTGAAATGCATGCCAGGTGAGCCCTCACAGAGATGATTGAATGGCCTAATGACTTCAGCTGTAACAAGTAATCTGATATATGGGTGATGTCCATGCAATGTGGTGATAGGTGTTGTCACTGTGCCCAGACAGAAAATCTCTTCCACTTTGCTGCATACGTGGTTCTAGTGAAATCCTTTCTGCTGTTTATCAGGATAGGTTGCACATCTGTGCAGCACAGTTTTCACTAGCATTTAGTCAGAAATTATCCACACAGAGAGACTGAAGAAGGGGTGCATGGAGTGACCTTGGTTCTGAGGCAGGAGATCCTCTATCGCTAGGGATCTATACTCAGTTACAAAGAGTAAGCAATCCAGGTCACAACTGTATTTCCAGCAGAGATCTCAAGAGTCCTATAAGAGATAGTCCAGTCCTGCTCGACGCTGGCAGGTATCATCGTTTGCAGTAGGCCCTTCTCACAAGACATCAGTGATCATATATGACGACATATGATGATCTACGAGCAGCAAAACACTTAAGCAGGTAGAATTTTGCACACTCCTAAGTTGAATGGGCTGCAAGATGATAAAGAACTAAAAACTGGGGTTGAGAGGAGGAATGAGAAGTGTGGTAATGCTTCTGTGTACACACTTCCCACACCGACATGGGGGCTCTCCCATCGGCACAGGTAATCCACCTCCTGGAGAGGCAATAGGTAGGTCAATGGAAGAATTTTTCCATTGATCTAGTGTTATCTACATGGGGACTTAGGTCGGCTTAACAATGACAATCGGGGGTGTGGATTTTTCACACCCCTGACCAATGTAGTTAAACTGACCTGGTTTTCTAGTGTGGACCAGGCCTTAGGCACAAAGCTCATATAGCAGTAACTGTCCAAATACTGTGCAAAGCATGCCTTCTTCTACAAGACTTTTGACAGGTATTACTGTTATCTAAAGTGACCCCCTTTAATTAGTGCAGCATTTTATGTCAGATGAAGAGTAAAGTTGTTCTTCTAGAACAGCTTGATATTTTAATGGATTCTGCTTCATATAAATCTTTATTCAGCCTGTTTACAGTGTTTATGAATTACACATTTAAAATTAATTAAATGAAAGACACACGAAAGAGTGAAGTTGGGGAGAAACTTGAAAACTTAGGGGACTGGTGGTCGGCTATGTGGTCGATCTCGATCTCTCTTCTAGGTCACCAGATCAAATATACCCCATGTCACTAGTGACAAAGTAGTTACCATCCAGTCAATGCCTGGTACATTGCATTAAATGCATTAATAAGTCTCTTTTCAAGTGTCCACATTAATAAAAACTACCCTCACAACTAGTAATTATTGGTTCCCTTATTAGTAGTCTCAGCAAAGGTCAAGGACTGAGTAGGCGTAGAGACAAAACTATTCTTTTATGCCTAGGTTTAGTCTTCAAGGTCAGAGATGAGGGACACCAGCAGGGCAATGCTGCTCCTTACTTGTAATGGTCTATGGCTAAACACAAGAATTCATTCTGCAGGGCTGTCATAAACATTATATTAATTTAAAAATATATATTTAAAAAGAGCGCAGATGGATGAAAATACACACGTGCAAAACCAGGAATCCTCAGCTAGAATATCAAATTTTACTCATTAACAAAGGGTCCAAACTCTGGAGTACTCATTGATACAAATAAACATTAATGTCGATAAAAAAAAAATTCCAAGAAAACCCTAAATAAAATGTTTTGCAAGATTTCAGGGTTTGGTCCAAATGGAATTGAAGAAATAATAGAAATAAATCACTCTTGAAAATTCAGATTCCCATGCAACATTGCCTCTCTGAATTACAGAGATTTCTCCACACAGAGTACTTTGGTGGGCAAACAGGATGTTTCTAATGCCAAAGGATGCTGTCTTTATCTATTTACATACTTGTCTAAACCTATCTGGTATGTGACGGAGTTACACACACTTTTTTTTTGCCCAGCTGTTCCTTTTAAATCAATGGGAGGAAAAATGAATTCTGTAGTAGTTACCTTCAATGTTAGTTTCCTCTCCCTTTCTTACTATTCCCTGCATGCTCATCATCTTTCAACCTAACATTTTCACACTTCACTTCTTGCCAGTGATACATGTGAAGCATCGAAACTGATGTATGTACCGAATGTTTGCTAGTTCAGTAAGTAACAGACTCAGCACCTTCAGAGTATTGTTCTTTGGTCCCCAGTTTGAGAAATAATGCAATGTAATTTATAGATGACCATAATTAAAGACATAATACACAGTCAAATAAGGCAACAAGTCGTGTTAAAATGTGCTTTGTGTTTTTGATTGTAATCACTGGAGTATGGGTAATTTTCACAGGTGGGAATTTAGCATCAGTGTTAATAAACTCTTCTGTTTGTGGAATTACTTAGGTGGTAGCTTTGTGGAACTACATAAAGCACCAGAACGGTCATTATACTTAACACTGAAGCCACTCAAATAGCAAGAATGAGCAGCACAATCATAATGTTATGAGTCTGGCAGGGAAACCATCTTTACCCTACAGTGCTTATGTATTCTGGAACAACAAAAATTATACAGGATTATACTGTATCAAGACTTCAGCTGCGCTGAGCGATCGTGTGAGACATACCTCTTAGGTCAGGTCTACACTGAAAAGCTAGATCAACCCAGCTACGTCACTGAGAGGCATGAAAAATCCATACCCCTGAGTGGTGGAATTAAACCAACCTAACCCCCAGTGTAGACAGCATTGACAGAAGAATTCTTCTGTAGACTTTGCTAATGTCTCTTGGGGAGGTGGATTACCTATGCTGAAGTGCTGCAACTATGCCATTGTAGTGTTTCAAGAGCAAACAAACCCATAAAGGTCCCTAATTTAAAGGGATGTTACTCATTTTAGTCCAATGTCCCCTATATTCCACACAAAACTGGCATCTCCTCACTTCTATCATTGAAAATTACTTTGCTCAGAAATAGAGAATTGTGAAGCTAAAGTTAGTGTCACTGAAGGAACACGTATGCAAGTTACAGCACTTTTCTATTTATTATTACTCATCCTTGAGTGATTTGGAATGTTGGGCATGCCCAGATAAAGGTGTATCTGTTGAGGACTCCCATAGTAAGAATGCACTTCACTAAGGGTTTTTATTTTAAAAAATAAAACCAGAGAAGCTAAATGCAATATATAAATAAATATTGGTAATATAGTAATATGAACCCAGACAAATTAGATTACAACGTTTGAGTTTTCTACTGTAAACTTAACTCTACTACATTCCATGTATATTAGAAATATTAACTTTTTAAATTTCCTGATTTTTGTGCTTGCTTTAGCTATGTTAACATTGCATGAATGTTTGATTTACATTTAATTAACAAGAACATAAGGTGAATTATTGGGCATTCTAATGCCAACCTCATTCATATAAAGAGGTTTGTTTCCATTCAGAAAGTTCAAGCCTCTTTACATGGCACAGGTTCAGATTAGTTCACCAGGCTGTTTGACTTTATCTAATTGTTACATAGTTACGGTAACAAAGCGTAATATTTCAAAATGGTGAGAACAGTTTTTGTCACATGATTTCCATTGACTGTAATGAGAGCCGCAGAGCTAAAACCTCACACAATGTTTTGAAAATGAAAATGTTTTGCTTGGTATTCACAGATTAAAATATGTTCTGTGTGAGTACAGAGCACATTTGGGGGGATGTGTTCATGGCTATGTAACTTACATCATCTGTGAAAACAACAGCAACATGAGTAATCATGTCATATGTGGGAAAGGCTAAGTTATAAACAGATTGAACTGTTAGAACTTTACGGAAGATAAAATATGTTCACTTACTGCCCTGATGCTTTCAAAATGTCCGCCTTCCTTCTCAAAATCAATTGGCTGCCCATTCAAAGTCCAGTAGAAAGTCACATCTAGTGTGTTGTCATGAATCGCTTTGCAACTGAGGACAATGCTTTCTCCAACGGTTAACTCAGTCCTCTTGGGAGTCAGGTCTATCTTTGTTGGTTCTTGAAAACAGAAGAATTAGTAATAATTAAATGCAGGTCTTGTGATATTCCAACATCAATATAGCATTTGCTTGAGTTCTGTTTAATTCTAAAAGTCTTGTCTGCCTGCTGGGCTGAAGGTTTTTTGTTTCTGAGTACACAGGGTCAAGTACACTGTGGTATGTGGGCCCACAGTGGGGAGGGAGCAAAGACTGGGGAGAGACAGCTATAATCTCCTCATCTTCATGAGGGCACAATCTCATCTAGTCACCACAAGGAATGCTGGGAAGGAAGACCCACTATCACACTGGCTGGTGCATTGTCCTCAAGAAATGATTTTTCCAACTTTCATAATTTCATCATGAGCCAAAGAATATTTTTAAAGCATCAGCTCCTGGAATCTTGTGATTATACAACAATCTCAACTTTCATTTAAAAAAAGAGTATATTTCTAGCTCTCGTAGTTGCAGGGAAAAGTTTGAAAACTGAACCCTAAAGACTCAAACACCAGAAAACAAACAAAAGAACCCAATATCATGATTTGGGGGGGTTTATTCATGATTTGCATATGCTTGTTATTGACAATAATACTGGGAATGCAGTCCTCAGCAGTATGTATTGGCTAGGGGCATATACTATTTTCTTTTAGAGAACAGCAACCTGGGACCGATAATAAAACCCTGCTTTGGCCCTGCTTTGAGCCATCATCCCCAGCAACTTTAGGACTTGATCCATCAAGGTGCAGAGCACTCTGGTCCTAAAAGTCACTGTAAATACACACATACCTGAACGTGTGCTTAAAAACTTTTCTGGATTGGGCACAGAGTACTCAGCAACTTGTAGGATTGAGCCTCTCCTATTGGGTAAATTGAATCACCAGCACCATTCTGCTCCCTCACACCCAAGTGTAAGCTTAGTGCAGTTAAGGATCTAGTTCTTTGTAATGGTCAAGTTTGAACTACTTCCCCTGGATAGCCAGAGGTTCTGTTTCTTCAGTTCTAGAGTTATGTGTCAAAAACATATTGCTGCTTGCCAGTGGAATGTATCCCTCATGTATCTTTTGAAAATGCTCTCTGAACTGTCAATTAGTCATTGCTGATTTATAACTCAGAGTGAAGTGCTGTGTAAATTTAAGATGACTGATCTCTTATCAATAAATTAGACTTCATTTGTCTAAATAGCAACCCAGTGGCTGGGAAACTAGTTGTAACTGAGTAGTTAGAAAACAGGTAATGATCTGCTGGGTTTCTAATCTAGCCATTTCTTTTTAGGATTTCTATGGCTAAAAATAGGACTTTATTGCTATACTTTATTCACTGTGTGCATGTAGAAAGGATAATTATTTTTGGCAGCTAGCATGTCTAACAGCCATAGGTATATGCCTCCTAATTTTTCTCTCTCTTTTCTTTTACACACAGAATTAATTTAATAATCTGGAAAGATTTAATTTATATACTAGTTTTTCTGACACATAGGTATCATAAAACATTATGGGCATGTATTCAACAGAGGGGAAGCAATTGTTGGCACAATCTTTGGTAAACTCTCTGGGGGCAAGTACTGTCTTTTTGTTCTGTGTCTGTGCAGCAACGGCCATAGCACAATGGGGTCTTGGTCCATAACCGGGGCTCCTGGAGCTATTACTGTACAAATAATCAATAATCTATAACAATAATATAATATAATAATAATAATAATAATATAATTAATAACTAATCGGTGTGGTTTTCCATACCTTTAACAAATACTGAGGCTACAGTTTCTGCTGAACCAAACACATTTTCTCCTTGGCATAAATACCTTCCTTCGTCAGATTTGGAAGCATTCAGGATTTGTAGGCTCCCATCTGGAAGAACAGTTATCCTGAAAATTATAAAAAATGTTTGTATCCTGTAATAGCATGTACCAGCTATCTCAAACATAGGCAGATTCCATGGTGTTATCTTTTAGGGTTAACAAACAGGATTAAGAACGGCTGCCACTGTGTGCAAGGATGATCATTGAATCCGCCTACTTAGGAAAGGATGCAATAAACCCATTTTATTCCCTCTGCCTCTTTAACTCAAAATAGGCTCTGGGAGGAATCAGTGGATTAGTTCTCCTTTGACACTTAATGATGGTGAATTTTAATTGTATTTTTGTAAAAATATGATCCTTGATACTTTATCTTTAAAACTTGGCTACTACATTATTGTTGAGTGATATTTCAATATTAAGCACAAGCTATCCCACCTGAAACTAACAGTGACCTTAAAAAACAAATCTAAGAATTATGAAGGGTAAAAAAGTAGAGGATGACAGGGAAAGAACATAAAATTAATTGTATGTGGCCAAAATATGATTTATAGCACTTGCTATACACAATGCAGGACAGGGATGGAAATGAGTTTTGGTGACTTCTGTTTACCCTTTTTTTCCCCGGAGTATTGTGTGGGCCTGATTCTCCAAACTCTGTGAGTAACTTCATTGAAGTAACTGGATCTCATGAGAAACGTGCAAAATCACACCCTCTGTGTAGGGTGGTTGAAAGTTTAGCCTGGTCTAAACTGTGCTAGAAAGAGAAATTTGGATTTGAAAAGATGGAAAATAAAACACTGTTGTCACTTTTAATATTCCAAAATTTAAAATTATGTCCTCCTTCTGTGATCTCCTATTCAAGTTTTATTATCTTTTTTATTTTTTAAGTAAAACTTATTGAGTGAGATTCACCCATGTGACACGAGGCCAGTGCAAGACCTACGTATCACTTAATTCCTACTATGAGGGCATTAGTGGGAATTAATTGGCATATCAGTCTTGCACTGATCCTATGCATGGGGGAAAATTTCACCCATTGTAGATTGTTATTATATAAACCTTTTGTGCTCCTCTCTGCCTACATGCACTCATGCAGTCTAGCCATAGGTGGCAGGAGAAAGGGAAATGCATCTCCTGGGGACACTCCTTCCTATTTCCCAGTCCTACAAAAGTCTAAGTGCATTTTCAGGTGCTCTGTGGGATTCTGCCTATTTGAAGGGGCAGAAGTGAGATGATGTTCTTTACCAGATAGTTCCTCCGCCACAAACAGCAGAGTACATTACTGCAGAGAAAGCCTACAGTAACTTACATTGTTTTGTCCTTCATGTTGTGGACATTCAAGGAGCAATTATAAGTAGGGCAGCAGCCATCCCAAGTTCATTAGCATCTACAGAATCTAAGCCTGATTTTTAAAAAATGAGTCCTTATGGTTGTGATGAAAACCTTTCAAATACCAATTAAGTGCAAAGTGATGCTGTGCTGAATCTGCGGCAGACAGAGAGGCTGAAACAATAACTGCAGGAGAGGTGTGAATCCCTCTTGTCCATTCATCTCAAAAGGATACAAACTCTGAAGACTGTCTCTTGGAGACAGTATCATTAACATCATATTTGATAGGAAGGGGGTGAGATGAGGAGAAACCTATCTCTTCAAATCCCAGGAGGCATAAGAACCAGGAATCAGTGGGAGCTGCAGAGTGTCAAAGAGATAAAGTGCTTCTGAAATGAACACGTTGTCCATTTGCTCTCCTCTTGGCCTTAACTGCTTAGCTGAGCAGAGCCACCCCAAGGAAAAGACTATCAAGAATTCAAGGAGCTATGGCCCTATCCTGATGGACAGGTTTCACCCTGCCTCCAGTGCAGCCAATAAAGGGAGAAAACCCCATCTGAGGAAAGGCAAGCTAGGATTGAAAGCTGAATTGTAATTTGGAGCAATTTACTTAAAGCATACGTCTCAGTAATGTGTACTCACTAAATTATCAAGGCACCTGTACAGTGTTCCACTTGGGGGGAAATGTGCTGCATGACCTTGATCATGAAAAATACTGCCCCCTGGTATTATATATAAGCCACAAGATTTATTGGGGAGGAAAAGCAGAGTCTCATTTTAATGCAAAATGTATTACCATTTATTTCAAAGATAAAATTGGTCACCACTCTCAGCAATGCAATATAGCAGCATAATAGTTTCCAGAAGAAAGAAGGGGCAATGAAAGGTCAGGCCAGTGCACACGGTGACACTATGGTGACAAATATTTTCTGTCTTTCTTTAGGCAAATAAATCACCGTATAGAAGACATAGGGTTTGTTGAAATATGGCATAGTGAGAATAACAAAAAACATGATCACATTAGACAACTATCCTTTAACCTATCTGAATTTTCTTAAAAGGTAATCTAACAAGTGAATACACCTGAAACTTTGTTATAAAATGTTTTAAAATTTAAAATTACCTTCAAAGTAATAATCTAATTTAGGAACGGACAGTGATTTAAGACGCATTCTTTCTTCTTTGCAGTGAGCTGCCCATTATATTTTCCTTTTCAGGATGCTCTGTAATCAACGCAGTTAAACTAGTGTATCTAACATTACAAGACTTTGCAAAATGGTGATGTTTTTCAACAGTATAGTGTCAGTTCCAGGTATATGAAAAGCCACTTCTGCAATTTTACAAATTATAAAAGTTTATACAAGCCAAGTTTTAAAATAAAACAGTTTTTTGGGCAGGGAGAGCTAGATTTTAAGGGAGATTACTTAATGAATCTTATGCACAGTTCCAGCTACATTTCTAACCATCTCACAGCTCTTGTGATATAAAAGGAAAAGAATGACTTGAGTAATCAAAGGGCTTTCAAGCAGGTCTGCTGGTAAATCAGCTGGCAAGGAACTGGACAGTAAAATAAATGACAGGGTTAATAATCATAATTTTCTTTTTGGAGCTAAGGCAAGAGCAGAATGATAGCTCTATTAGAGACTGAAATAATGTGTTTGTCCACAGACCCGGATAGGCAGTGGTAGTGCAACATAGGTAGCTTTAGTCCAGACTACTCCACCCTGACCTGCTAGTGTCAACCCTAGAGAGACCACCTCCTGGGTATGTCAATACTTGAATTTTTAGATGCCTTTAACATGTATTCATTAACATGTGTTATCTGAGAACGAAATTCCAGTGTATACACTACACCAAAATCTGTCCCAGGATGCAGACGGTTCTTGATAGACCTTTTAACACTAAGCTGCAGAGTTCATAAATTCATATTCATAGATTCCAAGGCCAAAACGGACCATTGTAATCATCTGGTCTGACCTCCTGCATAACGTAGGCTATAAAACTTTCCTAAAATAATTCCTAAATGTAACTAGAACAAATGTCTGTGTCAACTCTGCACTATGCCCTACAATTGTGTTATTTAGCACAACAAAAAAGCAGTGTAGCCATAGGCTAGGAGTTCAGTTTCAATGATCTCCCAAAGGCTTGGTTCTTCTACTAAAACTGCCAATGATGGTGACAAGTCAGTGCTGGTGGCTTTTGAGACTTGTACACATGTCCAGTAGGAAATGGAATAACCACCAAACTCATTTAACACTGAACTCCCATGAAATGGCAACAAATTTTAATTACTGAGCTGGATCGCAGACTCATAGAAATGTCGAGCTGGAAGGAACCTTGGGAGTTCATCTAGTCCAGCCCCCTGCACTGAGAGTAACTCTGACTGACCGCTATGCCTACCTACATGCCTCCAGCTTTCACCCAGATCACACCACACGATCCGTTGTCTACAGCCAAGCTCTACGATACAACCGCATTTGCTCCAACCCCTCAGACAGAGACAAAAACTTACAAGAACTCTATCAAGTGTTCTTACAACTACAATACCCACCTGCTGAAGTGAAGAAACAGATTGACAGAACCTAACTAGTAAAGTGCTCATTCACCAATATCTGGAAACCATCTACTGACCATGTTTTTTTCCTGCAGTGTCCACAAAGATCTCAGATATAGTTAAAGCTTTGCTGAGCCAGGTGGAAATTAAGGCAAAATCCTGGTCTCATTGAAATCCATCAGTGTTTTGACATTGACTTCAGTGGCTTAGGATTTCACCATTAGGGTATGTCTACAATACAGCTGCAGCTACATAGCTAAGGCAATGCAGTGAAGACACTTTCCACATCGACGGAAAGGGTTTTTCTGTTGATGTAGTTTGTCCACCTCTCCAAGAGATGGTAGCTAGGTTGATGGAAAAATTCTTTCATCAACCTAGCTGTATCTACACTTAGGGTTAGGTCAATCTAACTACGGCATTCAGATTGCGGATTTTTTCGTAAACCCTGAGCAGTGTGTAGTCTATAGCAGGTCATAGTCTTCATAGCAATGTGTGATATTATTACCTCCTGCTCTTTCCTGTGGAGACTGTTATTAAAGGACTTGACTCACAGAAATGGAAAGCTGTCATTTTGATACTGCTGTATAATTGACAGTGGACTTTTACCAAGGAGGAAGACACATGTTTTTTGGTTGTACAGTTTGTTGATTTAGAAACTCATTTAAAACACAGGGGCAAATCCTGAGAGGTGCTGAGCACTCGTAGCTCCTACCTAATGTCGTCAATAGGAGTTGCAGGGGCTCAATACCTTCCAGGATTGGGCCCTGGGTTTAGAGGAGACACAGGTAGACCTTTAACTGGATTATATTAGGGAAAGGTAAAGCTACAAAACCTACATTTAGATGAGCATTTTTATCTTGCCATTCTAGGTAGTTATTATTGAATAAGAAAAATCAGGCAAAAATGTGTATTGGTAGGAGGTTTAAGGATGGAGGGTTGCATCTTCATATCCTTTATTTGTTTTGTTGTGTGTGATTTTATATGTTAGGTAGGACTTAATTTTTATATTCCCTAGAAGAGTAATCAGAGCAATTAGGGAAGCATGAATATGAAATTTAGTTAAGGAAGTGCCTAAAGAAAAACTTTGCACACAGTGCAAACACACAGTGACTGGGTAAGAGAAAAAAGAAGTGACTAAAGTGGTTACATTTCCTTTCTCCTGTTTTTCTCATTCAGCTCTTAA